GCGACATAGGGAAACACCGGAGATTGCTGCCTCGCACAACCACTTCAAAAATACAACTAAAAGATGGAATGGACATCATCCAGAACCACAGGAAGGCTGGCTGAGTTGAAATTCTACAACTAGAAGGAAAGAGAAAAGCATATCGAGACTCAGAGGAGGTGTGGTGCGGAAGTAAGGTATGGAGGCGCATGCGGAGAGGGCTGGTGGCTGAGGACACAGTTGTCTTTTTCAATCAGGAGGGAGTCTCAAGCTCTGAGCTCCAGTTCTGGGCGAGTCTCTGGGGACCCAGACTCATACGGGAGAAACTGGACTGTTTGGCATTGGCTGGAACTCGAGGGCAGCTTTCTCTCGGAGGTGACTGCAGCGATTGCCGGGACACTGAGAAGCGGGGACTCTGACGGCAGGACTGAGAGCAGCTCAACTGCTAACTCCACCCTATTGATCCCCTGGGACCTGGACCTGGCCAAACCAAGCCATGAATGGAGGCTTTTCCATATGAAAGGCCTGGCCCTTTGCAATCTGATAATTACCTAACAAACTGCAGCTGGCCCAAGGCACCACAGCAGCTCGCATTGCTTCACAGCTGGCTCCTGCTGGATAGCCTCAGGCAGAGGCTAGATTAGCACCTCCTTAGAGATCCAGGAGCCAGTGTGCCCGGTGGTCAGAGTGGGAACATCCAGATTGCCGTTCCTTGGATCCGTAAAGGACACACTCAGGGGGCAGACTCAGTGAGCACCAAAGCCCCACTGAAGCAAGTGTTGCCTCATAAGGGTGTCTTCAGCACAGTTCTCCCACCATAGACACAGCTGACTCTCCCAGCCAATTGGCCTGGAGGTCTATTCCTCCCAGGAATACCTACAACAATAAAGGCTTAACTACAACAAGACTATGCACAAAGCCCACAAGGGGGTGCACCAAGAGTGTCCACCTCAGGTAATCGGGGAGGCTGAGCCACTGGACCCTATAGGACACCTAGCACAGAAAGCCACTCTATCGACACAGCAAAGCATAAAAAAATGCAGAGACGAAGAAACAGGAGACACATGAAAGCAATGCAGCAATGCAAACTACTGAATATAGAGTTCAAAACCACACTTTTAAGGTTTTTCAAGAATTTTCTAGAAACCACTGATAAACTTAATGAGACCCTCACGAAATCTAGTGAGCTTCACAGATAAGAAAAAGCTAAAGGAGTTCATCACCACCAAACCAGTATTACATGAAATGCTGAAAGGTATCCTTTAAGAAGAGGAGGAAGAAGAAAAAGGTCAAGATACAAATTATGAACAACAAATACAAATCTATCAACAAGTGAATCTAAAAATCAAGTGAATAAATAATCTGATGAACAGAATAAACTGGTGAGTATAATCGAATCAGGGGCATAGAAAGGGAGTGGACTGACTATTCTTGGGGGGAGGGGAAAAGGTGTGGGGGATGCGGGAAGATACTGAACAAAAATCGTGCACCTATGGATGAGGACAGTGGGGGGCGGGGTGAGGGCGGAGGGTGGTGTGGGAACCAGGTGGAGGGGAGCTATGGGGGGAAAAAGAGGAAAAACTGTAATAATATGAACAATAAAGATTTAATTTAAAAAAAAGAGAAAGGATCTAAATAAAAAAAATTTTAAACTATGTAAGTTTTGATTCAAATAAGGTACCAGAATTGTGAACATCAGTGAAAATTATTTGTTTAGCTGCATAATTTTGTGCATAATTAAAACAATTACTATTTGTCTACTATCACCATGTTTTTTCATTCAAAATTATGAGTGCCAGCCCTGCTGGTGTGGTTTAGGGGTTGAGCATTGACCTATGAAACAGGAGGTCATGGTTCAATTCCCAGCCAGGACACATGCCTGGGTTAAGGGCTAGATCCCCAGTATGGGGCGTGCAGGAGGCAGCCAATCAGTGATTTTCTCTCATCGTTGATGTTTCTCTCTCTCTCTCCCTCTCCCTTCTTTTCTGAAATCAATAAAAACATATTTTAAAAAATTATGACAGCCAGTTAATTGGCAATGCTTCCAAGATATTGGCCACAGAGGCTTATCATTTACTATATTGTTTCTTGCTTACAAAATGGCATTATCAACTGTTTTGCCAATTAAAAAGACATTTTTTACAATAATTTTGAGAGCTCAACTAATAATGGGTAGTTATACAGCATTTGCATCTTCTGTTGTTATTTAGTTTCTAACACAAAGACAAAGGACCACTATCTTCTTGATTAACTGAGCTAATAATATTGTACACATGTGCAGCAGCTCAATGGTCAATAACTAATTAATAAATTTTATATCATTTTGGAAGATGTATATATTCAACTCTATTGGGTTGCATGGGACAAAGGTCCTGTAAATTAACATAAGTCACCACCACTTCAGTTAGGACCATTTTTTCTTACATGACACTATAAATTAAAAACAATCAAGAAATGTGATCTGTCAACGCAAAGGTTCAAAACATTAGCAATTACAAAGAGCTCGTTTGAGAGTAAATGTAGCACAGTTTTATGCACTTTAATGTTGGTCATTTGGCAAGACTGGCAGAGATTAATGAGGTAAACTTAAAGTATATTCCAATGCAATTTTTATTACTCATGTACGAGTGTCAAATTACCCAACCCATATTTTTGTTAAAGTATAAAAGGAATTACTGAAACTTTCATTATGTCTGTGTTATGGACTTGTTCACCTCAAACTATCTTGAGCTTTATAATGATAACATAACCTTAAGGATATTAATGAGAACAAGCATTGCTCAATATGTGCCAAGCCCTACTCAAGATATCTCTTAACCCACAAAAATGGCCTATGAAGTTGGTACTATTACCACCTCCATTTTCTGGATAAGGAAACTGAGCTCAAGGAGGTCAACACACTGGATGAGTCTCATAGTTTTAATAAGACAGAGTTAGAATTCACAGCCAGCTCAGTCTGATTCCAGAGTTGGCACTATGCTATTCAGTGTCTCATAGCAAGCCTTCATTTGGTTGGTTAATTCAAAATAGTAGTATGGCAAGAGAGCTATCCTCAGAACCCAAATTCAATCGGAAACCAATAGTTTAGAGGTGAAGTAGTGTGGACAACTTTTTGTGACACACCTTTAGATATTTAACACTATCTCACACGGTCACAGAGGAGTGATGCTATTTTATATAGACTTCTTAAATGAGGTTAGGAACAGCCTAGCAATAGGACAAACATGTGGTCATCAGTTTGGTTTCAATTATGTATCCATTTACGTAGCCTCAGGAGAGTCAGCTCTTCTGCTCCTTTCTCCTTGAGAGCAGCCTGGGCCTTCCTCTTAGATTTAGATTGTGTATTAGGACACACCCAGATGTTTGTCCTCTGGAATAACTATCTACAGTAAGTAGTCCTTCCAGGCTGAATCCAATCCATAGGTGTGTTTTGTTGTGGCCATGTAGTGTTTTGTTTTTATTTCATTGACTGCCCACGTTTAAAAACAGTAACATTAAAAAATACATTAAAAATAAAACTGGTAACCTTTTTTGTAATATATTTTTATTGGTTTCAGAGAGGAAGGGAAAGGGAAGGAGAGACAGAAACATCAATGATGAGAGAAAATCATTGATTGGCTGCCTCCTGCACACCCCACACTGGGGATCAAGCCTGCAAGCCAGGCATGTGCCCCTGACTGGAATTGAACTTGAGATCCTTCCATCTGCAGGCCGATGCTCTAGCCAACTGAGCCAAACTGGCTAGGGCAAAAAGGGTAACATTTTATAGAAAAATCTGGGTTTCCATTTTATCTTGATAAATAAGAAGACAGCAAAACAGATCCCAAATTCCCTGATGGTAAGTTCTTGGCTGGTGCTGAGTTCCACTTGCCCCCTTTCTCAAATCAGAAAACACTGCAATGGTGACGCTGAACACAAAAATACTGTTTAAGTAAGTGAGTAATCCAAATCTCTGAAAGGATTGTTTACAAAGATTACTAGGCCACGAATATTTTTTTATTTCATTTTTGAAGAAAGTCGTTTAAAGGTGGTGATTCATCACTTGCATATTTAATAATACAATATCTGGAGTCAAATGAATTTAAAATTTAGTACAGAATGACTTTTTCAGTGTTTCATTTCAACCCATATAAGGGCATTCTACTTTGAATTTCTGAACCTATCTAATAAAAACTCTTTATATAGAAGATATGTGTCTATTTTATATGGTATATATGAAATAATAAAATATCTATATGAAACTATATCTACCATTACCCTATATAATAAAGGGGTAATATGCAAACAGGCTGAATGGCCGAACAACGAATCAAAGTGTAATATGCTAATGATATACTAAGGCTGCTCAACTGCTTGTTATGACATTCACTGAACCCAAGGGAGCAGACAGTCAACTGGTGTACAGTCGCTATGATGTGCACTGACCTCCAGGGGGCAGATGCTCTGACCAGTAGGTTAGCTTGCTGCTGGGGTCCGGCCAATCAGGACTGAGTTAAATGGGCTGGACACAGCCTGGAGCCCTCCCCTGCCCCTCCCAGGCCTGATCGTGCACCGATGGGGTCCCTCAGTCTGGTTTGAGCCCTCTCGCAATCTGGGATCCCTCAGGGGATGTTGGAGAGCCAGTTTCAGCCCAATCCCGCAGGCCACTCCTTTTGGGAGGGCTCCAGACACAGGGCTCATGGCTGGCGAGTGCTGCTGTGGCAGCGTGATGGGGACTGATTGAATGCGAGTCCACAGCAGGCACAGTGGGGCCGGGATGAGTGGGAGAGGCAGGTTGGAGCTGCAGGTGGCATTGGACTGTGGGTTGTGGCCCGATCCCTGCAGGCCACCCAGAGGGACCCCACCATGTATGAATTCATATATTGGGCCTCTAGTATAGTATAAAGTTACACATATACATATGCACTTGCATTATGTATATACATTTATACATGTGTACATATATATATGCATGTATCCTTCCAAACTATTCTTATTTTAACTTTAAATCACAGTGACATTTTATAGCAGAAAATTCTTACCTCAGCCAGAAAAATAATGAAGCACCAAATTAGCACAAAAACTAAGCTCTTGTGGACAGTAATATATCTGAGGTATGTGTTCCATGTAGTCACTGTTGGTATGCCCTCCACATCATCAAAAAAGCACTCCTGAAGAAAAGAATCATGGTCATTACAATGAGACTATACAGTTTTATATCACCTATGACTTGGGTCTTTTGTGGTTTTATTTTGAATCTGTAAAAAAAAATATTACTATTTGAAGCTAAGTGAATTTCAACAAATACAAATCACTCCACAGCCAGTATAATGTCCATTGGAACAACACAGCTTTTTGAAAAATGAGAAACACTGAAATTCTTCAAAATTCTGAAAGCATACCACTGATTATGTAACTATTATTTTTGGATAACTTCACCATTTTAATGCTTCCAGTGTCACACCTTTAACCAAATGAACAGTACCATCAAGCTGAAGCTTCCCAGAGCTCTCCTTAATTTATTTCTTAAGTGGGTCCATGGACAAATACACTTTGAAACTTGACTAGCTGTGGACATCGACCTAAGGGCAACTGATGTTTCTATATTTCCCAGTAGACTAGTATTATCTCTCCTTCCAACTATTATTTTAATTACATAATTCTACTCCTCAGTGTACTCCCTAGAAGTTTTGATTTGTCCTATGTAGATGCATTTCAAAAATTTGAAAAAGAGTGATTGTAGATAGTTCAAAGGAAAAGGATACTTTTGGTCCTCATGAAGTCAACAAAATTCACGGGAAAAGCGCTAATACTTCAAAGAAGGGGTTCCAAAGAAATTGGAACATAGCCCACTGTTAGGTATGAAGATTTTTGGAATCAAATAAACCTGGCTTTGAATCTGGACTCCACGTTGACTTCCTAGATGCTGCTTGAATTTGGCAGCTGAACATTTCTAAAGTTCACTTTCCTTCTTTGAAAACGAGGATAATGATAGGTACGTTCTAGGGCAGTAATGGGGACCAAGTATATGCTTAGTCCCCATTACTAAGAGCAATCAATAAGTAATAACTAGGTATTAATCAAAGAAATCATTCTTTACAACTAAATTTATGGGCTCAGGGTTGAGAAATTCATTCAAACTGATATTAAAACCACATAGATAAATTATCCTTTAGGAAACCTTTTATAAAAATTATAGAAATGCTGAAAGTATGTATCTTAGAGATAATCTATTGTGTTCTTTCATTTCACAAAGAAGAAGACCTTGGCCCAGAAGTGTGAAATGATCTGTGATTGCCAACGGTCATACTAGCCTTAATTGATCTGTGCTAGTAAACATATCAACTCATCACAATGCTGCCTGTTTCATCCAAGGCACTTAAGAAATTTTTCTAGTAAATATTAAACAAAACCCCTCCACTTGTATTGCTTCCTATCCTATATAATAAAACCCTAATATGCAAGTCGACTGAACAGCAGAACAACCAGCTGCTATGGTGCGCACTGACCACCAGGGGGCAGACGTTCAATGCAGGAGTTGCCCCCTGGTGGTCCGTGTGCTCCTACAGGGGGAGCGCCGCTAAGCCAGAAGCCGAGCTCATGGCTGGCGAGAGCAGCGGCAGTGGTGGGAGCCTCTTCTGACTCCACGGCAGCACTAAGGACACCTCGGGGGATGTCCAACTGCTGGCTTAGGCCCACGCCTTGCACTCCCCTCGGGGGAACAGGCCTAAGCTGGCAGGCGGACATGCCCTGAGGTGTCCCGGATTGCGAGAGGGTGCAGGCCAGGCTGAAGGAACCTCTCCCCCTCTCCCCCGCCAAAGTGCATGAATGTCATGCACCAGGCCTCTAGTTTTTAAAATAAAAGTATTTTATCCTTTAAAACTTAAAGGATAAAATACTTAAAGTATACTAGCACCAACCTTTAGACTTTTTGTCTAAAGGTTGGTGCTAGTATACATTAAGTTTCATACACCTTTTTTTTTTTTTAAAAAGAAACCTGTCTAGAAATCCAATTTAAAAGATAAAAACGACCCTAGCCATTTTGGCTCAGTGGATAGAGCACTGGAGACGGGAAGGTCCCAGGTTTGATTCTAGTCAAGGGCACATGCTCAGGTTGCGGGCTCCATCCCCAGTAGAGGGCATGCAGGAGGCGGCCTATCAATGATTCTCTCTCATCTTTTCCAGTCAAAGGCACATGTCTGGGTTGTGGGCTCAATCCCCAGTAGGGAGTGTGCAGGAGTCAGCCAATCAATGATTCTCTCTCATCATTGATGTTTCTATCTCTCTCTTCCTCTCCATTCCTCTCTGAAATCAATAAAAATATATTAACAGATAGAAAAGCTCACACTAACTAATTCAGGTATGATTGATATATAAATGACAATATAAGTAGTTCTGTTAAGAGATTATAACTATATATACCTTACATACAAAAATATTCCTTCCTCTCTAAACTACTGCTATTATCTGATTATATATTTGTTTATACTCCATCTCTTCCCACTGAGGTTTTAAGGTAGTAATAAAGCAGTTTTATAATAATTTTTAATAATTTCTGATTATTCTAATTTATAACAATGATTACTACTGGCCTAGTAAACCCAACACTAGCCCTTGCTTTGATAATATGTTTTATTAGAAAAGATATGTCCATTGCAAAAGGAAATAGTTGATTCTTTACACATTTAAGTTGATTCTTTTGCTTACATAATTATGAACTTTGCACTTCCAGAGTCTTAAGATAAACTTCATGCTAAAGCCATAATTTGAGTAAGTTTTGTGACATACTAATATGCATTCAGTTGTACTCTGTGGCAAATAAATAAACAACAAAACACTAATAATTTATACACACCTTTAAATCTTCTTCATTAATTTCTTCACTCATTTCCAAGCCACTATCTTGAGATAAACGCCTTGAATATATATCCATTTCAGTTAAGTTCCCCTGAGGGGCCAGGGACATTTTTCGTGTGGATGCTGCTGGGGCTCGGTGAATGCTTTGACCTTGGTTCACTGAGGAGCGTGTCATCAGGTTCAGAACGGACTGCCTCCGTCGCCGCTGAAAGGTGGGACCAGTGTTCATCACATTGCTGCGAGGCAGGATGGCCTCCCCCTGCTCGGAGTCCGGAACTAAGGACAGCCTTCTCTCTGAAGGCGCTTCCGAATCTTCTTCTATGCCATTCATTTGTAATGGAGTCTTCTGTGCAATGGAAAACTTTCTAAAGGAGCTGATTGGATTGAGAATAGAGTTCTTCCTATTTTCACCAAACTCTCCAGTCTGTTTAAAAGACTGTTTTTTGGTTTCATTCCTGGGGATGGCAGCATCTCCTTCTAGTGAGAAACGCCGTAAAGTCTCCGTTAGGATTGAATTTCTTCTCTCTGCACTAAACTGGTCAAAATAATCATATCCCATGAGCTTTGAACTGAAGTCAGGCCGTAGACTTTGTAATTCAGAAAACGTCCCATAAAAATAGCTGCTACCTTCATGAAGAATTAATATTTTGTCAGCTTTCTTTAAATGTTCCATTTTAGAAGTGACCAAAATCCTAGTTTTGTTAGCCATCAACTTACAGACACAGCTTTAAGAATATAAAAAAATATAAGATGTCAATTTTATGAACTCTTTATTACAATACAATATGTATTTCATTTAAAGATTTTATTAAGGTATTCTTATATAAAACCTCTATAATACAATGTTATTATACTTAAAATAATTCTAAAAGTAAATACCCAATACTAATTAATTTGGTGCCTTTTGAGTTACTATAGCATGAAATACTGTATTACTGAATTATTATAGTATGCTATATTGTAAAGTTGAGGGTTAAGAGACCTAAAATGAAATTAAATATATATATTAAATAAATATTTGAGTTTGAGCAAATTGGTTAACCTCTGGGTCATGATTCATTCATCTAGAAACTGACAGAATTGTTAGATGACCTTTAAGATTCCTGAGGGGGAGGTGTATATTTCTATGTATCTTCTGACATTTCAGAGCTTTCCTGTTCTTTACATTTTTTATTAATTTCCTTTTATGTTTTAAGTTGACCACCAATTTAGTTCTCAAAAGTTTATATTAAGATTAATCTTAATTGTTAAATCAACAACAATGACAAACCTAAGAGTTAAATAATGAATTGACCCTCCTCTAATAAAAGTTCCCTTTAACCTAGAACTAAATCCAAAACAGAATCATCTAAAGGAGACAAACTCCTTTTAGGCATTAAAACATTTCATATTGTATAGAAGGAGACATAATTCTAGAGGGTACTCTAATATACTACATGGCTAGCAAAGTTTATATGGATAAGAAGTTATTTATCATAGTCATAGTATTGTAAAAATAGTATGTTAGGTATTAAATTCAACTAAATTCTAGGAAAGATGCTTCCAGGAATAATGCTGCCATTTTATACACACATAGATCTATATCCTTTTCGCTTAAAATCTTTATTTCTAGAAGAGTATCATGATAATTCTCATAAATAAACTACTTCATAGTCTATGAAATCAGTTTGAAGCTTAGAAATCCAGTCAGATAACTAACTTTTTCTCTGGAACTTTGCACACTCTGAGCCCTACTAGGAGCTACAATGAAATGTAAATCCCAAGCCTGTGTGACTGAGGACAAGGTTGTGAAGGAGACACTGAGGTGGATGCATAGTCTGGGCATTCACTTACATTAACATGAAACAATTCAGCTCGTTTTCTTCCCTAATAAGTTTACTATCCAAGGGGGGGATAGAATAAAATACTAACACAAAAAAGCAAGTAAAAAGATTCAGTATAATAACCAATTAAAATAATATTACAATAATACTGTAAAAATGACATAGACAGCGACTATTCGAGTAATAGCAAGGAAGAAACTGTTTTAGCATGAGGTGGTTAGAGGTTTTCATGGAAATGATATTGAATATTGGCTGCAAAGAGAAAATGAGATTTGAGTAAGTGCTATGTTGCATTCTTTCATAGGGTCACAATGGTGGACACATTTCTCAAGGAATAATAAGCAGTCCATGGTAGTATAGTCACCTTTCTACGTCTTTTAGCATGAGCATTATGCTATTCAAAGAACATACCTTTCAAAGATTTCTTTTTCTGTTAAAACATCTAGGTACCCAAAAGGAGAGTCTAATAGGTACAAGTCAGCATCTTTGTATACTGCTCTGAAAAGAAAATGAAAACCAATTTAGATTTCCTCTATAATCCCATGTCACTTAGTGTAGATGATTTTAAATGAAGAAAAATAAATTATATATGATTTTTATGGCTTTTCACAACACTCCAAGAATTGCTAACATGGTTTTGCTGAAGTAAGTGACATTAACCAGCAAAAGTTACAAACTGAATCACACCATACCATACAATTTAAAACATTAGCTTAAATAGAAAAAATAATAAGAACGCCTTCTAACAATAGAATGTAACTAGAGCAAAGCACAGTGCTATATGCTGGGAATACAATTGATAAAAATTACACAGTTCCTGCCATAAAATATTTTGCATTGTGGTGGGGGGAAAATAATAAAATGGACGGTCTCAATCCTCTAAAATATCAGAGACAGCAACTAAATTGTAGCACTTATGTGAAACTATTTCTTTTTAATGCTTTTTTGGTGTTGACTGCTACAGCAAATTGGTAGCAGTACTATTGTGGCTATATAATTGGTACACTTTTTATTCCTTATAGTCTCAGCCACTGTACCATATTCATAAAAATTCCAAACAAGAAAAGAATGAATAATTCACAGTAAAAATGTCTGTCCATTTTTTTTACTTTTTAAGTTAAAAAATAAAATATTATGAGCAAGTAAATTCTTCATTAAGTTGATCATAGCACAGTAATAAAATGGAGATATAGTCCCATGTTAATGGGAATGAGATAATTTCTTCATAACACTTAAAATTTTCAGGTGTGGTTGTTAGTAACCATACCCCCACCCCAACCACATAGAAATCATGTATAGTTCTGGGTACTTTCTGTGAAAAGAAAATTGTATTCAATCAGCAGATTTCTAAGACAAAACACAGAAATTGCCCAAAGTCAAAGTAAAATCTAAAACAACCATTGCAGTGTAAGTTATTTTTGAAGACAAAATGCAAGAGAACTACGTAAAAGACCTCCATCAAAATATACCCTCCAGGTCTTCCTTTCCCCACTTCATACTTCTCTCTCTCCTTTACACCTATGACATATATTTTTTATTTATTTTATTATTATTATTATTATTATTGAATTTCGGCTTGTTTTTAAATAAAGGCGAGTTTATTCCCATACTGCACCAGCAGGAGCCAGGCTTCCTGTTTGCACTCCCTAATATATTAATGATGTATTCATCATCAAAAACTGGACAACACAGGACACATTCCAATAAAAATAAAAATAATTATTTCTGTAGTACTTCAAACTGTGTATACCTTACAATAAAACCAAATCTTAAACTGGTAAATACAAAGTCCATTGTATGTTGAATGTCTAGAAGCCCCATAGCATGTCTTATCTAAGGATAAAATGGAATGTTTGGGATAAGTCTTACTTGGGTCCACAGGTTAGTTAATCAAATCCCATTTTATTTAGAGGCCCTTATCTTTTCTGTGTATTATTCATACCTATTAACTTATTTTTTTAATTGTAATCCCAAGATCAAGGCATAATTTTTAAAAATTTATCTTTATTGTTGGAAGTATTACAGATGTCCCCCCTTTTCCCCCATTGATCCCCCTCAACCCCACTCCCACACCCGCCCCAGGCCTTCCTAGCACTTATGTAGAATCAAGAGGACCTAGTTCAAATTGTAACTCCACCATTTCCCTATATGGCTTTTAGCAAGTTAATATATAACAGCTTCAATTATCTCATTATTTCTTTCATAAAATGGAAGAACAATCCCTATCTTTCCAAGGTGATATAGGGATTAAGTAAAATCACACACACACACACACACACACACACACACACACACACACACACACCACTTAGAACATTACTAGGCATTTGCAGGTGTTCAGTGAGTTAGTTTTCTGTGTCAGCATTTAAAAGCAGGAAAAACAAGTAAGGAAAGGAGTCAAAATATCAGTAAATCAATGATTTGTTAACAACTCTTGCAACACAGTAAGAAGAATTTTGTTCTAATATAACTGGAGGAATGTTTGACATCCCATATCACCAATAATTTTTTAAATTGAACATGACGGTTTTACCACAACACTTTCAACTTGATAGAAATTAACAGAACGTAGTTCTCCCTTTGACAGCTCAAAATGCTTAGACCAGCGGCTCTCAACCTGTGGGTCGCGACCCCTTTGGCAGTCGAACGACCCTTTCACAGGGGTCGCCTAAGACCATCCTGCATATCAGATATTTACATTATGATTCATAACAGTAGCAACATTATAGTTATGAAGTAGCAACAAAATAATTTTATGGTTGGGTCACAACATGAGGAACTGTATTTAAAGGGCCAGAAGGTTGGGAACCACTGGTTAGTTAGACCAATAATGTCTCTACTAATGGAACTACCCACCACAGTGTTCGATGTGCTTGTCTTATTTGTCTTTAAAAATTACAGACTTTAAACCAAGTGATATCATTTGCCTTGCTATTCTTGTTATGAGAATCATGTTGAAAATTTTGAAAATATACATTTATCTAAACTAAGAAGCATGAACAGAAGCCTAGAGCAGGTGTGTTCATTGTGGGATGGAGGTGGTCAGGGAACTGTGTGATGGACTTCACAAAAAGTTTCCATCATATCTCTCCTTGTGTTATGCAGAATCCCAGAGTTTTCCTTTGTAGTAAAACATACCATAAGGTAATCAAATATACACACACCAAAGTAACTGCATGCATTTTTATCAGATATGAATACTATATCATGATCAATACTTCTTACAGGTGATTCTTAACCAGCTAGTCATAAGATCCCAAACACTGTTCAATTCCAAAACAGAATATAAAAATAGAGACGTATCTATAATTTCTACACGCATGACATTTACAGCAAATGCTTACTGGACCAATAATCCGATATTCACCTTGCCAAGGAGATTCTTGCTCGCTGCCCTCCACTCAGTGTGATTCCACCTTCTCCAAGAACTACATTGTCTTTCTCTGCAAACTTGGAGATGTCCTATTATCCAAAGTAGAAAGTAAGAATGGAATTGTTAGTGCTGGATCTGCATTCGAAAGGTCCCTTTTCCTTCAAAGGTAGTCATATATCACTCTATTGCTTTAGCTACAATTGAATTTTGAACACTGCATCTTGATTATTTTAAATCCACTTCAATTGGTCAAAACATTGCTGATTTTGATAAATAAATTTTTGTTTAATTTTTTAAATACCATTAATGAACATAAATAATAATAATAATTGGAAAATATAAAAAAGTAAAGCCTATGTATATTTATGGGTATGTAAATATGTGTGTATATCATCCATGGGCCATTATATAAACCTAAGTGCTATTAATGTGCTCAAGTGCACTTCCTTCCGATTTAAATACACTGTTATAATGGAATCTCCAAAACTGAATAAAACTCTCAATAAGAGAAACTAAATGAATGTTACTTACATACCCCTACCCTTCCCCCCCACATCCTCCCGCCTCCCCTCCCCCACCACTGCCGTATCTAACCGTATTTAGTGGGTAGTCCTGGGTACAAGGCAACTCCTTTCCAAACTTCTCTCACCGACTCATCCACCCAACATCTCATTCCTGTGACCTCTCCACCCTCTCTGCCTCTCCTGTCACCCTCCTTCCACATGGATTGCATCATCCTTTCTCCCAGATGATAAACTTTCTGTGGCAACAACCATGCTAGGCATCGTAAAAGAAGTTTAGAATTTATCAGAAATAGTCTGACTCATGCCGAGACCGGCGTGGCTCAGTGGATAGAGCTTCGGCCTGCGGACTGAAAGGTCCCGGGTTCGATTCCGGTCAAGGGCATGTGCCTTGGTTGCGGGCATATCCCCGGTAGGAGATGTGCAGGAGGCAGCTGATAGATGTTTCTCTCTCATCGATGTTTCTAGCTCTCTATCTCTCTCCCTTCCTCTCTGTAAAAAATCAATAAAATATATTAAAAAAAAAATAGTCTGACTCCTGAAGGATACTAAATAACATCCAAAAGTTTTCATTAACCATTTTAATATTGGTCATAAAATAGTACACAATTAACCTACAGATTAGTTGTACAGGTGACAGAAGTATCTATATAATAGACAGAAAATACTAGAAGACTTTCTGAAAGAGATGGGGCTCAGCCTGAGATATGAAGGATGAGAAGAGTCAAATAGGTACTACTCTCTCTTTAATTCAAAAAAGTTCTCTCCCTTTTCCCTTTCCATCTTCAAAAATCTGCTCTTTTCTCTTGCTACTACCTTCTTCTCTCTCCCTTTACAAAAATACACTTCTATCCTACTTCTCCTTTCCCTTTGACAATCCAGAAGCAATCCACCATCTCCTTTGAGTTGCCAACATTTTTTTATATTTAAATTGTCAAATGCTTACTACAAAACTCTAAACTCACAAAGGAGGCAAACTAACAGTGATCATTTATTTTAAAAACTATTTCGCAGCTCCAATAGGTTGAAGCCATTCTAACCACTGCCCCCAAGGAACTCTTATTGTCAATAATTCTGAGCTGGGTGACAAAAGGCCTGATGTTAAAAATGACGTCATGTTGGAGGCGATGCAGTAGGATAACCCCCACTCCTTACTCTGGCAACCATCAATCTTTTCTTCATATCTATGAGTTCAGGTGTTTTTTTTAAGATTCCATACATAAGTGAGATCATACAGAATATATCTGTCTGACTTACTTCATTTATCACAATGCCCTCAAGGTCCATCCATGGTTTTGCAAATGGCAGGATTTCCTTCTTGTTTTTTTTTGTTGTTGTTGTTGTTGTTTTTTTGTGGCTGAATAATATTTGTATATATGTGTATATATACCACATTTTCTTTATCCTCTCATCTGTTGATGGATACTTAGGTTGTTTACATGTATTGGCTATTATAAATAATGCTGCAATGAATCTGAGGGTGCAGGTATCTTTTTGAGATAGTGATTTCATTTCCTTCAAATAAATACCCAGAAGTGAAATTGCTGGGTCATATGGTAGTTCTATTTGCAATTTTTGAGGAACTTCTATGGTATTTGCCATAGTGGCTGCACCAATTTACATTCCCACTAATATCCTTAGTATTTTATGATTTTCTACTATTGCAAATTAAATAACTTTCTATTTCCATTTCGAGACAGTTGCTGCTAGTCTAGAGAAAAGCTAATTATTTTTGTATGCTTAACTATGATCCATGCATCTTATATTCCCTCATTACTTCTAGCAGACTTTTGTTTTTTGTTTGTCTCTTTACTTTTTGCTAGAATCCCTTGGGTTGTTTTTTTTTTTTAGGTGAACAATCTCATCATGAATATTTAATATTGTTCCTACTTATAGATAAATGGCATTAACTTCTTGCCATTTAAAATGTTTACTTTAGAATGTTACCTATAAAATACTGTATTTATGAAGTTTCCTTCTATTTGTACTATGATTTTTTATTAGAAATGACTGCTGAAAATTTTTTTTTAATTAATTTAAAAAAAGAAATGACTGCTGAATTTTACGTGAGACTCTTTTAACATTTACTGACCTTTTATTTGGTTTTCCTCTTTGTCAATATAACAAATTATATTTTATTTATATATTTCTTTACATTGATGCACCCTTACTTTCTTATCATAAATTTTGCTTGGTCATATTTTATTATTTTTATATCATTCTGTATGCTATGTATTAATATTTTATTTATAACATTTTATTTTAATATCTACATCATAAATATGATTATGTTTTCTTTTTCATAGTTTTTTTGAGTACTAAGACTATTTTGGTTTTAGAAAATGAACTGAAGAGCTTGCCGTCTGTTTCTATGGTTTGGTATCTATATATATAAAAGCCTAAGTGATCGGAACGACCAGTTGCTATGATGTGCACTGAACATCAGGGGACAGACGCTCAACACAGGAGCTGTTCCCTGGTGGTCAGTGTGCTCCCACAGCAAAACTCCCATGGTTTCTCCACCTGGCCAGCAGGTCCTGACTGCCCAATCAGGGCCAGGCCCTGAGCTGGGATGAGGAACCAGGGTGGGTGGTGACGATGCAGCCCCATTCCCAGGGGGGCTGAGGGCAGGCTCCCTCTTTGGGGCTGGCAGCCAACCTCCCGTGCCCCATCTCTCCCCAGGCTGGTAGGCCCTGATCAGCCCTCCACATGCCCATCCAGGGGTGGTTCGGCGGTGACAGAAGGAGAAGGCGGGGAGGGGTGGAACCACACAGTGGCAGAGCGCTGATGATAGCAGCGTCAGTGTCCAGTGTCCATTCCTTCTGCACTCGGCCCGAAGACCGTCGCCTCCTGTCTGGCCTGGCCCTGATCGACTTGGCCTCGATCAGCCCTGATCACAGGCCAGGCCTAGGGACCCTACCCATGCATGAATTTCATGCACCGGGCCTCTAGTAGTTTAAATAATATGTGAAATGCATGTTATTTAAAAGATACAGTTTAGCTACCAAATCATCTAGTGATAGTGCCTCTTTTAGTAGACATTGAATCACCTTCGCAATAGTAGTGACTACTCAACCTTCTTCAAGCTTCTTTCTTCAATTTTGATTATTTGTATTTAATCAAATAATAAAATTTGCTAGTAAATTATCAGTTCCTCTAGGTTTGTTTGTGGGTGTTCCTTTTTTAGGTTTTTAAGTTTGGAGAGCAGTTGTGATCATTACTATACCTATAGAACAGTGGTTCTCAACCTTCCTAATGCCGCGACCCTTTAATACAGTTCCTCATGTTGTGGTGACCCCCAACCATAACATTACTTTTGTTGCTACATCATAACTGTAATTTTGCTACTGTTATGAACCGTAATGTAAATATCTGATATGCAGGATGTATTTTCATTGCTACAAATTGAACATATTTAAAGCATAGTGATTAATCACAAAAACAATATGTAATTATATATGTGTTTTCCAACGGTCTTAGGCAACCCCGGTGAAAGGGTCGTTCGACCTCAAAGGGGTCGCGACCCACAGGTTGAGAACCGCTGCTATAGAAGAATATGGTATTTTACACACCATTGAAATATGATTAAGGAAAGCATTGCTAAAAGATGAAGTCTTGTCTAATGCTTAAAACATCTTCAATTTTCTATCAGTTTAGAACTTTTTCAAGGAATTTTGAAGACCTCTCCTCCTATGCTAAGATAGAATTAAATGTGAAATGTAGAGAAAATATGTGTGTAAAAGGAAATAGGGAAGGAGACAGGGAAAGCTTGGAGGGTTGTCAGACCTCAATGCAAGTCCAAGCCCTGGGTGAAGGCTTGGGTGGGAGAACATTAAATCACTGTGTAGTTGAAGCCTAACAAGCAAGTTTTCGAAACCTATGTGGGAGTCCTTGAAGCCAAATTAATTAATAAGTAGGTTCCATGTTTTTCAAACACAAATCTGTATCTCTTCCACACTCAGTCACTCATGGAAAACAGCCTGTGGAAGGAGCAGTCTCAAGACAAACTCAGTGAGTGAAAGATTTCCACCCATAGTACTGGGGCCCTTGGTCGATTAAACTCCCTACAACCAGGGGTGGGCAAACTTTTTGACTCGAGGGCCACAATGGGTTCTTAAACTGGACCGGAGGGCCGGAATAAAAGCATGGATGGAGTGTTTGTGCGAACTAATATAAATTCAAAGTAAACATCATTACATAAAAGGGTACGGTCTCTTTTTTTTTAGTTTTATTCATTTCAAACGGCGCGGGCCGTAGTTTGCCCACGGCTGCCCTACAACAATGCTTGTAAGGCACATCTCACTGCCACCACAACACCTTACCCCCCAAAACTGGCAAGGGATATGAAGTCAGAATGGCTACCAAACATGGAAAGATGTATACTCTCAGCAGCAATCAGGAACTGCAAATTAGAAAAATAGAGAGACATGGCTTTTTACAAATTAGAATGGCAAAAATTAAAATCTGTCTAAAATGAGAGCTTATAAAAATGTGAGTCAGTGGTAGTATAAATTGGCACGATTACTTTAAGGTGCAATATGGCGGTATCTAGTAAAATTGGAAATATA